CATCGTAGAGCCTTAGAACCAGTTAATTCTTGTTTGTGCTAAGTGAAATGTTAAATATTTAAAATATCTTGTCAGATAATTTGCTGATTATATAGGTACTACTTTTGTTTTTATTCCACTCTTCCTTTTATCTCAGGTGGTAGCAATATCATATATTTACTGGTTAACAGTTTCAAGGTTAAAATTAAATTTTAAGCTTTTAAAGGAAAATTGTAAGAGTTAAGTCACACTTCATAAGTGGTAAAAAAAAAATAAGGTTGTGCTAACTGTAATGAAATTAACAAAGAAATCAATAAAAAAAGTATCTGAAAATCTCATAAATATTTAGAAATTAAATAATACATTTCACATAACTCAATAACTCAAGAGTCAAAGAAAAAATACACAAAGCAAATTATAAACTATATTTAAAAAATGAAATAATTCCAGATTTGTGGGAAGCAGTTTAATTTGTACTTTGAGGAAAAATTATAGCATTTAGTGTTTACATTCAAAAGAATAATTGTCCAAAATCAGTGATTGATGATGGTATCTTAATAAGCTAAAGGTTAAAAAAAAAAAAGCAAATTTAATCTAAAATTAAGAGAAAGAGAAAATAATAAAGCGTAAAAATCAAGGAAATAACAAATAGAAAAACCATTGAAACAAATCTTATTCAAACAAAAAGCAGATTTTTTTGAGCAAAATCAATAAAATTCTACCTACAATAATGAAAAAAACCCAATTTCTTAAAAAATATTGAGACTGAAAGAGCAGTTACTACACAGAATGTACAGATTTTAAAAGGATAATAAATAAGCTCAGCAACTTTAGAAAATATAATCAGTGACTTAGATATAAATAAGAAAGTTTTTTGACAGACATTAAATTCACACATTCACTCAAAAAGAAAACAGCAATGTAAATGGCCTCAGCTCTAATATAGCTATTAAAAAATTGAACTCATAGTTTTGGAAAAAATGAAAAGGAAAATTCCAAATTCAGTTGACTTCAATGGTGAATTCTACCAAATGTTTAATAAATCACAATAACGTCCCAGAATTTCTGCCTAAATGTAGGCAAAGAAAGAATGTTCCCACAGATAGGAAAATCAGACAAACACAAGAGAAAAAAAGAAAAAAACTACAGACCATTCTCCATTTTATTATATATTTGCAAAATTTCTTATCAACATTTTAGCAAATGTAAAACAAAAATAAATTTTAAAAAATCAGAATGCATTGTGACTATCGGTTTTATCTAAGAAATGTTCAGTTGGCTCAACATTACAAAATCAATCCACAATATTAATTTAATGGAAACAAAAAAGATTTATCTCAGAGACAGAAAACAATAGAAAATTTACTACACATTTTTAATAAAAACTCAAAAGAAACTAGAATGGAGGGGAACTTCCTCAACCTAATAAAGAGTATCTAAAACATTAATAGCTGAGTACTGTCTCCATAGTCATAAACAAAGCAAGGATATCACTTCTTACCAGTTCTATTTAACTATGCTTAAGATCCTGCTCCTTTCACTAAGGTAATAAAAAGAAATAAAAGGGAAAATATTGAAAAGTAAAACTGCTTTATTTATAGACAACATGATCATATAAGTAAGACATTTTTATAAGTTCGGTAAAAAGCTAATATCATTAAATCATCTTAATTGAGCTTATGAAGTTTGCAAGAGGCAAAATCAATCTACAGTAATCAGTTCTATGTTTATGTACAAGTAACAAGGAACTGGAAATTAAAATACTGATGTAATTATAATAGCAAAAAATATAAATATGTGGAGATAAAATATGTGGAGATAAATTTTTAAAATGTATAATACCTATACATGGAAATCTACAAACGAAAATTCAAAGATCAAATTTAAATAAGTGGAGAGGTATACTTTGACTCCTACCTCACATTAAATAGAAAAATTTACTCAACATGTATCATAGATTTAAATGGAAAATCAAAACTGCTAAATATTCTGTAAAAATAAGAGAGAATATATTAGACCTTGTGTTAGCTAAGTTTTTTTAATATAAGACACAAAACTCATAAATCATAGATAAATATTGATAAGTTGGACTGTATCAAAATTGAAACCACTCTGTGACACTGTAAAGAAAATGAAAAGACGAACGAGAGATGGGGAAAAAGGGACATATACAGCATATACCAACAACATTGTATCCAGAATATGAAATGAATGCTGTGCATCACTTTTCAGGAAGCATATACATAAACAGGAATCACAGTCCCCACCAAAAGTGCTCAATATCATTAGTCATCAGGTAAATGGAAATTAAAGTACAGTAAGATACAGTGCATTTAAAAGCAACGCATTATGACATGGTTTAGATTATTCTAGCCAAACAAGGATGATTTTTCATTAGTAAATGCTCCAAAATAACAGGAAAATTTTAGTAGATTATGAAAAAGCAATTATTGATTTCTATATATCAGGAAAACAAAATATGAATGACAGAGTAAAGAGAGGAATGAATTTCTTAACATAGCAAATGCTGGCTACAATTTTTTTTTCAAAACATTTAACTAAAATAACA